CGAAGCTTAGTGGGTCCCCCCAAAATACCAATGACATATAGATATAATCATATCATATAAACAAATACAAAACAACATGCATATAGAGTCTACATAAGACTGAATTGCCCCTACCGGGCCTGCAATCTCACTGGCCCACTCTCAGAACCTTCAGCATGTCTGGTCCGCCCACCCGGTCCTTCAACCTATCTAGACCGTTCTTCGGGCCTTCGACCTGATTGATATGCCCCTAGGGCCTACAGTCTATCTGATCTGCCCTGGGTCTGTTGGACTTCAGCACAAAGTAGGACCGCCTTAACCTAACCAAACACAATATGTTGACATATAAACAATCATGATCTAGTAGGCACATAATACATGCAACAACAATCATACAACTCACTACTACCTACTAATCCTCAAACCATATACAATCCCGCTACCAGCTAACCCCCATAGAATGCGTAACCATAAGTAACCATAGGTGAGATAGCCACCCGGACAGATAGTCCTACTTTAGAGCCACAACCAAACAAGGAACAGACACGAGATCCTAGGCCAAGAGTTCTCAGGCTATCTTACATGACCACTCACAGTCCCAAAGGGCACTCCATGGATGATAACCAGCAAGCACAAATAGCATACAAATCTACAAATTACTAGCATAGTAACCATCTTATAACCAGGATACATATCATAAAGCATAATGTGCAATGAACTCGGATACAAATCCGAAAAGGGCCGACATTGGTGCCTTCGACCCTGTTAGTATAGTGAGGACAACTCACCTGATACTGCTGAAGTCCCGCGGATGAAACTACAGCTGCTGGTCCAAATTGAGCCCAACCTTTCACATGGGCCTTACCTTAAGACCCAACCACCTATTCTGGTCCAAATACTTGTCATTCAAATGCTCCCATATCTCATAATCATAAAGGCCCAATTATGGCCTATTTATGACCCAAGTTTCCAAATTAGGCCCAAGTATCTCACATGGGCCCTTCCCTAAAGCCCATCCCATTATTTTGGTCCATTTACTTGTGCTTGGATAGCCCATCAATAGTCCAATCACCAAAGCCTAATAGGAAGGCCCAACTCAAGGACCAAGTGAAATTAGGGTTTTCACATGACACGACGATTAGGGTTAAGTGTTTCTTACTTAACTCATTAAGGACTTAATCCATTAAGTCCAATATTTCCTTAGGTTAATTTGCACATGATTATTAATTAATATTTGAAGTTTAATAAATAACTTCTGTGCGGTCTCGATAAATCCCAAAATTAGGGTTTCATGGTATTAGGGTTTTCCAAACCCTAATTAGGGTTTCCAACCCAATACCAGCCCATTAGTCACATGGTTGGGCTTTTATGTCAATTAGGGCTTCATTGGGGCCATTAGGGTTTCGTTAGGCCCACTAGGATTTCATTAGTCGCGCATCACCCACTACCACCTTGGGTAGTAGTGGCCAATGGCGGCTCACGGCGGCGGCCACCACCTCACGATGGTGGTTAGGGGTCTAGTCCAATGGTGTCTAAGTATCCCAAAAGCAATCCAAACACATGCAAAGTACACCGCCACCCAACACGGCGGTCGGAGGCGACAGCCACCACCCTACAGTGGTGGTTTTTGAGTTTTCTTTTGATTATTCCTACTCTATTACACTAAGCTAAACACACACTAAACACACACACAACCACCTTGTGGTGGCCGACGGTGGTAGATGGTGGCAGCCACCACCTCACGGTGCTGGTGGTGACTTCTTTCTAGATTTCGGACAATGATTGCTACATCGTACACACTATGTTACACACTCATCCTATTTTCTCGGAAAATAAACCCAACACTCACCTATGGTGGGCGGCGACAACAGTATTGACAGAGACCAGTCACCATGGTGGTTCTTCTTGACTACTCACGACGTCCGGCTACAACAACTTCTTAAGCATCTCAGAGTGGCGACGGTAACGGTGGCCATGGCTACAACGAGATGGAGAATAGAAAGGTGTTGTGGTGGCGACATGCACGGCTAGGCTTAGCACCGATGAATAGAAAGAGGTTGCAACCGGGAGTACAACAACAACAACCACGGTGACAGCTTCGCCCTTCCAACTTCCAATATAGTGTGACGTCACCCAAGGAAGAGGTTATTGTCAGTCTTCGACATCGTAGGTACAATAGCGCCTTCGTCCTCGGTGGGGCTTTCTCCGGCCGTTCACGACGTCACAGCCAGCATGGGTTGTACTGTTGTGGTGGCAGTACTCAACGACTCCAGCAAACGATGGTTTGCAACTCGACAGACGGGGGTAGCGGCGCCGAAGTTGAAGACGGAGGGTCAGGTGGTGGCGGCTGGATGTTTAAGGTGACGACCGCTCTAGGGTTAGGGTTTGAGAGGCAATGGAACAGCTTTATACCCTCTCCATTCAAACTAGGATCCATATTGACAAAACCCACCCCTCCTTCTCCTTTCCTTTCATATTAAGTCCTAAAATTACCATTTAGCCATTGACTCCATAAAATCCTTTCAACTTTGATCCAATATTTACCAAATAACCCCCACCTTTCATAATTCTTTACAATTCAAGTACAATACGTACCAAACACATCATAACTTATTAACTCCTTTTCAAAATAAATCCTGAAATTACATTTTAACGCCTGGAGATTCAATCCTTGTCATTTGGCTTCCCGAAACCAACACCCCACTAACTATCAATTGATTTTGGACAATAATAATATAAAATAATAACAAAAATTAATTCTCGAAGTTCTGGATTTATTATTTAATTCTTCTATTGTAAACGGGGTGTTACAACTTGGGTAGGGTACGTATAATACTTTGAAAAGTTGAAATTTGGAGATATATCATTTGATTAGGTGGGAAATAAAAATTTCAAGTTTATTAGCAGGAAAAAATAATTATATTGAGAAGGAAATGAAATTAATAAAATAATTAAAAATGGTTTTTTTGTAAATAACCAAAGGAAAAAATATTTGTAGAAAATATAATTTTTAAATATTCATAACAATAATAATAATCTTTGATATTATATTTAAATAATATAAATTGATCATCTATTAAATTTTTAATTCATTCCATTTTTAATTGATATTGATAGATAATCTAGTTATGCAACCTTTTATATTAAGGGTTGCATTCAAGTTTTAACAATGCAACATTTCTAATAAAAGTTATATATGGGTTAGGTGCATTGTACAATATAAATATATGAGCATTACTAAGTATTAAAGAGTAAATTTTAAAACCATTACACTAATCGAATGAAAGAGATGCAATTTTTCAAAAATACAATTTCGCTTTTGAAAATATGAAAAACTTCACGAGGTGGTGTGGAACATTTATGGGGCATTTTTGTCATGCTGGAGAAGGCATGCGACAAACACGCAAAACTCATTTACAGGATAAACCCAGGATTGCCTAGTAGGTGTTACCGGTAGCATATTTTTCCTTTTACGTAGTGATACAAATATAGAAAAAACGAAAAATTCGAATTTTTTTACATTGTATCCGAAAAAAACAGGGGTTGCCGGTGTCACGATGAGCACCATAGTGGAACCATCTCTGCTCATTTACTTTTTTTGTCAAAACTTAAAAAAATGGAAAAACCAATGCTCTCAAGATGTTATTCTTAGGGTTGGAAGATTATGGTAATTTGTGATGTAGATAGAAGACAACAAATTTCTATTGTTAGAAAAGTGGAGATGATTACAATCGAAAGTGTGAGGAGAAGTCTGATGAGAAGGAAATGCGAAGATAACTTCATGGTTGACTTGAAGAATACAAGTTCATATAAGAGAATGTAGAGTCTTAGAATTAAGATATCAAAGTAGTATTGGCGTAGTGTACGATAGATTCTCCATTTTTGTTTGTGCTTGTCGGACAATATTCTCCTACTATCTCCTAAAGGGATTATTTTGGTATCTGTTTCTACTATTTGTATATTATACATTATACATAATATATTTCTAACCTTCAACCCTCGTCACGTGTAGATTACGGAGGCTTTAGTCTTTTTTCTCTGACGCACCTTTTTTAATTTATCTCGCACTAACTCGTTGTATTCGGAGATTTTTATGTAGGACCACTTGGGGTGGGCGTGATTATAAAATTTTATTATTTATATACTTTTTCTTCGAGGGTCTTCTACCGAAACAACTTTTCCAACCATATGGTAGGAGCTGCCAACCATTTTAATTCTTACATCCTCATTATTTCTTTTATTTATGTGAGACTCATGTAATATTGTGGTCATTAATATTCTTTAATCATTTATTTATTTGTTATAGTAGTATATTTTTGAGAAAAAGATACATGTCTAATCTAATCAACCATATTCCAAAAAAAATAGTCAAGTACTAATTTAATCACAAAATAATCATTATGACATCTCCAAAATGACAACTTCATTTCAAAAATTATAATGTGCCGGCCAAAACGACGTCATTTTGAAAGACAAGCGTTCTATAAAGTCCGTAGATGACATCTATAAACCGTATGTTTTATCTATTAAAAAAAATCAGGTTATTTTGTGTTAGAAATCTTCAAAGACCATTTCCATAACAAAAGAAAACTTGAAAAAAACTTCAAAAAATTGATTCTTTTTTGTATATTCATTGAGAAAAACATGTGATATCGTAGATGGCATTTGCAAATTTTTTCTTCAAAATAACGATGTTTTGGTTGACATATCACTATTTCTAAGAAGGCGTCATCATCACAAATATCATCTTCGGCAGTGATCTTTATTTTGGTGATTGAACTAATTCTTAACTATGTTTTAGAAAATAATTTTATAAAAGAAATATAATTAAAAATATTTGTTAAGTAGATCAAAATATCACAAGTAGTATTTTTTGCTTTTGTTTTTTGTTTTTATAACACTATATTTATAAAAATAATTACAATGTTTGTGAAGATGTACCCTTTTTTTTTTTTTTTTTTTTTTTTTTTTTTTTTTGTTAATAGAGATACATACATACGATGTTGGTGGCTTTTGTTCCACGCTACGAATCACGCTCTCGGTCGTTCTAACACCTTCCACCGTCTTCACCATGGAAACTAAAACCAATTCAACAGCACCACAATTTCCCTCTTCGTGGTGTTTAATCAAACACTTCATCTCCATTCATGTGAACGAAAGAAGCAATTGAAGGAATGTGGTAGCTGTTCAAAGGCATAACATCATCATCATCTGAAGTTGAATTCGAAGAAAAACTTTCAGCAGATATGCCCAGTCAAAATTCTTCTTCATTTCAATCGAATCAGACAAAGTCTTCGTCGCCTGATTTCAATTTGAGTTTATCAGAAAGGGCGTTGGCCGCCGCTGGAGCCGCTTTTCTATCTGCAGTTATAGTAAATCCTCTCGATGTCGCAAAGGTACTCTTCTTCCTCGATTATTTTCCTTACACATGTTAGTTCTAATTTCATTGTCGACCTCTACAATACTCTGGTTGTGGATCTCGATGCCAATTGTATTGGTTTCCATCATTTGATCGGGAGAATTGATTGGCTTCGTGTATTGCCTGATTATGCAGACTAGATTGCAGGCTCAGGCTGCTGGTGTTCCATATCAGAATCTCCCCTCCACATGTCGTTTTGAACCAAACACAGTAGTACATTAAACCTTCTTCTTCGTCCTGATCAAACTTTTTTACGTGCTGTTCCAAGTGTGTGTCTGATTTAGAATTTAATCGGTGTTAATTTGGTTATCAGATGTTACACGATACAAAACGTTTCCCACAGTATAAAGGCACTCTAGATGTGTTCCAGAAAGTTATTCATGAGGAAGGATTTTCCCGACTTTGGAGAGGCACAAACGCAAGTTTAGCATTGGCAGTACCCACGGTAACAAGTGTGTGTGTGTGTGTGTGTGTGTGTGTGTGTGTGTTTGTGAAAGATGGATTGGTTTAGAGTTTTTGTATAATTGTTGTATGGTTGTTATTAATATTATTAGGTGGGTATCTACATGCCTTGTTATGATATATTGAGAAACTATATGGAAGCATATACATCACAAAATGCTCCAAGTGTGACACCTTATGTCCCCTTAGTTGCAGGCTCTGTTGCCCGTTCATTGGCTTGTGTTACTTGTTACCCTGTTGAACTTGCAAGAACTCGTATGCAGGTAATATTATTATATCATAACTTATATAATTTTGGTTTTATACTAACATTTTCCATTGTTTTTATTTATAATGATAATAGGCATTTAAAGATGCCCAACATGGTACAAAGCTTCCTGGAGTGTGGAAGACGCTAGTTGGGGTTGTTTCTGCAGACACCAACACAAACCTACATAGCTGTGAGTTACTTCTGTTCAATGCAAGAGATAACAATGTACTTTCATAAACTATTGAATCAAAGTTATTTGTGGTAATACGTCAAAAGCTGGTCTCAATGTATTGGCTTAACTTTTTCTTTTTATCATTTTTTTTTTTAATATCATAGATCGCAAATATTTTGAGGATTAAATGCAAGGAATAGCATTGTGCTTCCATCGATTTGTTTATTATAGCATTCTACTTTTGGTGCAACATTACTTACACGTTAAGGAATTTATACTTTCACTGCTATAATTAGGTACAATGGTATAATAGTGTTATTAGTTGGGTAGAAATATGTTTTAATAAGAAAAAACGCTGGAATTCTTGCATTTAGCCCATATATTAACAAAAGTCAAAAACTGTTACATAAATAAAGCATTAATCCAATCCTATTTATTTTAAATTAAGGAAGTTAAGAGGGTGTAAGTTGTAAACATATATAGTATACCCACACCTTTTAACTGATGGAGCAGCTTGATATGTATCTATTGAAAATTTCAGCTGAATTTGAATAAATTATATTATTAGCATTTCGTAGCTTTCGGTTCTTATGGACGGGTCTCGGGGCACAACTATCCCGTGATGTTCCATTTTCTGCGGTTTGCTGGGCTACCCTGGAACCAGTAAGTAAGAGTTTTTTTAATATATATATATATATATATATATATATATATATATATATATATATATATATATATATATATATATATAAATTGGTGGTTTAAAACCTCAGAAGCTTCCTTTGTGTTTGTGCAGGTGAGGAGACGGATACTAGGAATGTGGGGGGGCCATGAAAGTGGTGGTGTCGGTGTTGTTGTTGGTGCAAACTTTGCTGCTGGTTTTGTTGCTGGGGTCCTTGCGGGTGCCTCCACATGTCCGTTAGATGTTGCAAAGACTCGGCGTCAAATAGAGGTATATGTTATGTTTATGTAAGCATTAAAAAAACATGTTTGTATGTAGCTGGTGGTTATGTATTTATGTTGGTAATACTAATGTGTATGTAGTTCAAATGACATTTTCAGAAGGATAGAGTCCGAGCATTGAGGATGACGACAAGACAGACACTGGTGGAAATATGGAGGTATGTATGTAACTATTGTATGTGTATGTATGTAACTATTGTATGTGTTTAGTTTTCGTTTTGTTGATTAGAAGGTTGGTTTGGTTTGATTTGATGGGACAGGGATGGAGGAATGAAGGGACTTTTCACAGGAGTTGGTCCTCGTGTTGGACGCACAGGTCCTTCTGTTGGGATTGTTGTGTCCTTTTATGAACTTGTCAAGTATGCTCTACACACCTACACAACACAACACTAGAAAACCATGCCATCTTTCCTCTGTATTTCAACATGTGTGTTTCTTGGATAATTTACTTACATTCCAAATGCCTGCCCAAAATCAGACCCACCATCTCTTGGGTTTCATTGATTCTAGTAAACTATAATCCTTCATTGCTGATTTGTTAAGGAGTATATATGTAAATATGTTGATGACAATCCATTAGAATGGACGGATTCATGAAAATAAACAATTTCATCTATCTATCTATCTAGTATATATTATCAAAAATGGAACCTAGTCTTTTTCTTATATATATATATATATATATATATATATATATATATATATATATATATATATATATATATATATATTGTTACCATACAACATTTTTTGACTGCCCGAAACCAATTTTGAAGCCTCCATCCTAGCAACTTTTTATCGATCAAGCGGACATGACAGGTGCACTTTTTGTAATGTTTTAACTTCTTTAAAGTTAATATAAAGAAAAAGAATTTTAAATTATAACAACAAAATAATTTTACTTTTCTTTAAATCATAACTGAAAATAAAATATAAGTAAATAAGAATTTTAAAATTTGAAGTAAAGCAATAACCAACCAAAACATGTAAATGTTATCAAAATTTATGAATGTGGACTTTGCATAGACATGAAAATAACAATAGCCAAATGAAACTAACAATCGTTGTTCTGTCTGTGACGATGATATCACTTCAGAACTAATTTGATTTGATCCCGAGTTATGTGGTTTCTGTTTTAAGTTTTGCATTTTTCAGTTTTCGCCCAACAGTCATGTTGTTTGTCCACCAAATCCATAAAAATAAAACCACACATACCAAGCAAGATTCAGTGAATGATCAAGAATAAAACTAGATGATTGCATTTGTCATAGTAATAATCATAATTATAATTATAATCTGAAGCAAAGCCACCTCATGAATCCGAAATTATCAAAACAGACCATAAGGGAAGGCGTCCAATGGATGGATAAGGTAGGTTAGAAGTAATGCGCCAATCATCAATGCGTATGCGATGCCCTGGTCAATCGAAGTCCCTACAATTACAAATCCAATTTCATTAAAGTATAGCATGTACCTAAACTTTATTCGGAGAATGTGGCAGCTCTGAATTGTGGTAATGTTGGATACAAGAAATCGAATAAAAAGAGAAAGTGTATATTGTATACACTGAACAGCTGGTTGCTTTGCCAATTATCTATGCGTTAATAACAAAAAAAAAAGGTCCAAAACTAAACAATAATCATCAATTTAAAAGAAAAAAAAAAAACTACAACAAACTTGTTAGGGCTAGTGCAGGTTGCTTGCAGTTTAGGTAAATTAGCTCCAAATCACACACAAAACTGAATGAGTTTTGCTTTCGCAAACAATGAAACACAGCTGGCCTATATCAGATCTTTTTGTAAAAACAACCATCAATTCATTTAAAACAGCGTCAATGAATATCAGAGAAGAAAATTAATTCAAAATTTTTGAACAAAATCTTTGAAAAGGAAAAAACGATGAAAACAGAGCTAAACAGGCTGTTAGTAGTTGAGGTAAACTAGCTCAAAATAACACAAGACCAAATGTTTTTCTTTCCATAAACGATGAAAACAGATTTGAATCAACAATACAACTGTGTTTAAAAAACCGCAGCAATGAATATCAGAGAAAATTGTAAGCAGAAAACTTGTTAGCAGAAGGAAAAGGGAATGGTTTACCATCGCTAGAAGGCGCAGGAGCAGGTGCCATCGATTGAGCTCCAACACTTGGACAAACAATGCCTAAACACACCGCGAACATCGCCGCCATTGCAGTCACCAACAGCATCCGATTCACCGCCATTACTCTCTGTTTTGACAAAATCAACAATGCGAATTCCCAAACGAAGTAAATCACCCAATTACGTCGGTCCCCTCCACGGATCGGAGGAGAATCACACAAATTACTCGAATCAAAACCCTAGAAATTCAGAGCTCAAATCGTGTGCGTGTGTGTGTGTGTTTCAAGGGGTGGTTATTATATACATGGAAAGCAGAGTCAGAGACAGACAGGTATCCTATTAAAAAATATTTAATATCTTTATGAAAAAAAAAAAAAAAAAAAAAAATATCTAACGGGGTTCGGTTATAAATTATTATTATTATTATTATTAAATCAATGATTTATCATTAGTTTGGTTTGGTTTTTATATGTTCAATTTATCGGTTTTATAGTTTCTACTATTTTTTACAACTAACAAATTGGTACAGAAAATAATATTGTGTGTCGGAGATGGTCTAAGAATAGACTTAATCTATTAGAATGAATATATATATATATATATATATATATATATATATATATATATATATATATATATATATATATATATATATATATATATATATATATATATCATTGTACAAATATTTAGTAACATACCTATATGTCCATCCAACATTTCATTGAAAAAATCTAATCATATAATTACATGGTTTCAAGTTTGAGAAATAAAACATATTTCTGAAAATATCTCGAGCACAGAAACATGTTTGGAAACACAATAATCTGGAACCCAACTCTATATAATTTAATGGATTGCTACATTATTATTTTAGTTTCTTACAACTTTATCATTTTCTCTTATAAGGCATTGAACCATACAAAAGTTCAATGAAACATCTATGTAAAAAAATTCCATTGATCTTTATGGTTGAGTTTATTCAATTGAATGTCAACTCCACCCAATTGAACTATGCATTATGATGATGTGAGTTTCAAGCAATAATGATAAATTGTATAATATTCCAAAAAAAGTAGTAGCTTTATCTGAATTTTCCATAGAGGTAGAAAACAGAAGACAAGTTGATGAGATGGATGATGCCAACGACCAAAAGGACAACAGCATGAGACGAGCATCAGCCATGAGCATGCCTGCATAAAAAGACTTGTATAATTGAACCCTGCCCCTATTCCACATGGGCTGGGACCACAAAATGGAGCAAGGCTGAACCCCAACCAATTAACCCACTCTTGCATTGCAATCCGCTTGAAATAATCTTCACCGATATGTGAAGGTTTAACACCCATTTTTGGATGTGACATGAATCAATATATCATTGTCTTTTTTTAAGGCAAAACTGTATCTAAAAAATTGCCAATATAATCCCTTGTTGGTTTCTTAGGTACCCTGAATCCACCGCTTATATGTTTTGGTCCAATTTACTTATGAAATGACATTATTCTTGTTCTCATTAATTTTACTGTTCTATTTGAGATAAAAGTAAAAAAAAAATGTTTATTGTTGCAATACCGGAGTGAGAAGCTTATGTAAAAATGGTAGTCAAAGGTAGCCAATCTGACATGCAAAAGCCAAAAAGTGTTCAAAAGATCACAACGTCAAATGTAACACCCACACCCACACCCACACATAAGATTTACAATCTCCATTTTAATGCACACGAATCAAGATGGGATGCATACTACACATCATTTTTTAGAAGCAAAAAAAAAAAAACAAAACAAAACAAAATGTTGTTGCAGCATTTTTACATAATCATTCATGGTTGGTTCACATTGCTAATTTTGGATCTACTGTCCCTGTAGCACTTCCTTCCCCTGTTAGGAGATGATCAGGATCCTGAATAACACAACACATTAAACATGAAATAAAAGCCACTGACAAAAATAAACTATAAAATTAAATAATTAGAGCAGCGAATATATACCTCCATTCCCCATTTTATATAATCTGGGGATTCACATGCTTTATATTCATCAACCAAACTCTCAATTACATCCCTTGACTCATCGAATTCAGAAAGATCATTGTCCTGTACCAAATAATACCCCCACGTGATTGCAATAAGTATACAAAAAAGGTTAGGTTAGGTTAAAATACAAGAAATACCAACATATACTTTCATTTATTT